TGTTAAAATTATACCAGTGATAGCTTATTATATTGTTTACAACTGTACAAAAGCATTTTGGTGAAAATTTTTGGAAAAAAAAGTTATTCGTGATGGAATTCAAGCGTGATAGTGTGATTTCTTTATATTTGACTTGAAGACCTCAAGTGGCTATCGTTGGAGAACTCCAGCATTTAAATGTGAATAAATCTTTTGTTTCTCGACCATCGCTCATTAACTTGGTACTGGTAGCATAGCCCGACGTCGAGGAAGTGGACGGAAGAAAGCAGCAACATCAGAAGGAATGGTTCGAAAAGTAAAGAAGCGACTTGATCAAACCCCAGGTCGCAGTTGCCAAAAAATGGCTCGTGAGCTGAACATATCGCAACATTCCCATCGGCAAATATTGAAAAATGAGCTCTGGGTTAAGCCATTGAAATTCCAAAAAGTACAAGAACTTACACCGCTACAGAAATAAAATGGACTCAAAAGAGCTAAAGAGTTGCTTCGCTTGGCCGAAAGTGTTGAACTGCCGAATTTCGTTTTCTCCGATGAGAAAACATTCGTTGTCCAGCAGTTTGGAAACAAACAAAATGATCGTGGTTACTTGCCAAAGAGGTCAGCTGAAAATGTGCACCTTCGGTTGGCCACCAGAACTCAAGCGCCGGCCTGGGTGATGGTGTGGCCCGCCATAACAGCCGATGGTCGCTCTCCGCTTGTATTAATCGACCGTGACATCAGAATAAATGCCGAATATTATCGCGAAAATATTCTGGAGGGTGTATTAAAGCCTTGGGCACGCAAACATTTTGGCCGCAGACCTTGGACATTCCAACGGGACTCAGCTCCATCGCACTCAGCACGCGCCACTCAAGAATCGTTACAAAATGAGGTTCCTCCCTTCATTTCATAAAATTTGTTATTTGAAGTTCGTAATGGATACTACAGCCTATGACAGAAAATTGTCTGCCAGGTCCAGGTCTTCGTATCGGCCCCATACATCAGTACCTCTCTATATTCGGTATTTTGACGATTTTAGGTACAATACTCGTCGAAATTGTTTGAGATGTCGTATTTGAAGTTCGTAATGGATGCTATAATCTGTGACAGAAAATTGTCTATGCAGGTCCAAGTCTTCGTATAGCTCCGATATAACGGTACCTCCCAATTTTCGGTATTTTGAAGATTTTAGCGTCATTTTTCACCGGAGTAGTTTCAAATTTCGTATTTAGAGCTCGTAATGGGACCACAGTCTGTGCCAGAAAACTGTCTATGCAGGTCCAGATCTTCGTATAGGCCACATATATCAGTGCCACCCTATATTCGGTATTTTGATGGTTTTAGGTACAATATTCGCCGAAATTGTTTGAGATGTCGTATTTGAAGTTCGTAATGGATGCTATAATCTGTGACAGAAAATTGTCTATGCAGGTCCAAGTCTTCGTATAGCTCCGATATAACGGTAACTCCCTATATACCGTAGTTTGATGATTTTAGCTACATTATTCACCGTTTATTGCAGCTTTCGAATTTGAATATGGTAATGGCTTATGACAAACAAAGCCCATGTAGGTCCACGTCGTATAGACCCCAATATATCGGCTACATTCGGTATTTTTAAGATTTTAACAGAATTTTTAACGAATTTTATTTTTTGAAAATTTCCAAATTAGTTCCAAATGGTGGAGAGTATTCAAAGTTCGGTCCGGCCGAACTTACTGATTTTTAACTTGTTTTTATCTCAACCTGTATATATATAAAGGAAATATATCCAAAGAGAATTATATTTGAATTTTTGGAGCCCAAAGTAGATGTAAAAAGGAGATCCCTTGGTTCCACCAAACTACGATTTTTGTAAATTTAAAAGATCCTTTGATTTTTTTCAGAATCCCCGGATATTTATGACTGTTGACGATGATTTTTTGTAGGTCCTTGGAAATATTTGCTATAAAATAGTTTTTTTTCTCAAGATTTTTAAAAGTATTAGTAACATAAATAAAATGTTTCATTTCCAAAACACCACCCCTTTTGACAAAATAAGTAAGTCAAAATCTCACAAACTTCCCGCTAACAATGTTAGCATTTCGAGCAGCAACTTTTTGAAACATTAAGCAGACTAAGAAAACTTCTTACGTTGCATTTTTTTTATTTTTTTTTTATTTCGGGGGAATTTTAATGTCAGTGTCAGTAACATAGAGGGAGAAGAGCTACCACCAACAACAACAACAAACATCAACAGCAACAATGCGAACAACAGCAATAACAAAAGTTTTTGAATTTTTACTGCAGTGTCTTATGAAATTTTAATTTGAAAACTTCGCTAAGATGAACGGCAAACGTTAACACGTGTCAAATGTAGCATACAAGTTGAGTACAAGTTACAAAAACAACAACAACAATAATAACAACAACGTTAGGGTATTATAAAACATATCAACAACTTTTAGAAGAATGAAGGGAGAGAGAGAGAGAGAAAAATTCAAAAAGGGGTGGTGAAGAAACTCAAACTGGAATCTAATCATTTTCGAAACAGAGTAACAACAACAATTTTTCGTGGGAGAAAACAACAACAAATTCGACAAAAAAAGTATTCAGACCAGCTATTCCGCAGAAGTGACTACTCACCAGTAGTGGCTTCTACACTTTTTTCAGTTGTAATTCGTATCATTTTTGATTTAATTCGTAACTTTTCATTTGTAATTCAAATTATTTCAGTTGTTTTTCGAGAACTCCAACTGTAATTCGAATGTTTCCATTTTTATTTTGAATTATCCCAACTGTAGTTCGAACTATTCCATTTGTAATTCAAATTATTCAAATTGTAAAACGAATTAGTCCAATTGCAATTCGAATGATTTCAATTGTAATTCGAATTTGAATTTACATTCCAATTATTCCATTTGTAATTCGAATTATTCCATTTGAAATTACATTCGAATTACAAATGGAATACTTTGAATCACAATTGGAAAAATTAAAATTACAAATTAAATAATCCGAATTGCTGTTGGAATAATTCGAATTACAAATGGAATGATTTCTAATTCAAATGGAATAATTCGAATTACAACTGAAATTACAATTGGATTTTTTGAATTACAATTCGATTGATTCGAATTACAAATATAATTTTCAAATTACAATGAAAATGTTTCGAATTACATCTGGAAATTATGTAAAGGTCAGCTACTCTATACTACCGGCCTCCGAGAGAAGCTACTCTAGAGCAGTAGCATATGGAGACTAGTCACTCTCAGGCTCTGGAGACCAACAACTCTACAGGATTGGTCTTTGGGGTCATCATATCTAGAGTAGCGGCCTTGGTGATCATCAACACTAAAGTAGATTATGCTTAGGCAAGATTCTCTACTGGGACGTCTTCTACGGTCAGATATTTTACAGTATTGCCGGCAACTCTACACTACCGGCCTCTGAGGTCAGCTACTCTCAAGTAGCACTTTGAGATCAATTACTCTACATTAGGGTCCTCCGAATCCAACTACAATACCGGAGCTCCCTTTCAGTCCTGAAACTCAAATGGAGGAGGCCTCGCTAATGAGTGGAGGCCTCGCCCATGAGTTCAGCTACTCTAAAAATAGCGCCCTTTAATGCAGGCCGCTTTAGAGTACAGCTATGTTAGACCGACTTTTTAATGCCATCTGAGGCTCCTTCAGGTCAACTGAGAGCGTAGCACCCTTTGATGGACAACAAGTGACGGCCTCTTACGTCAGCTACTCTGCAACTACAACTGAACTCTTCATGGGCGGCTTTGGCCATGAGGCTACCTACTCTAAAAATAGCGCCCTCTAATGTCAGCCCCTTTCGAGTAGAAGTGTGAAGTCGTCTTCTCTAAAGTGCCGCCATCGGAGGCCAGCTACTCTATCGAAGCGCTCTCTGAGGCCAGCTACTTTACAGTACTCTATAATAGCAACTTTGGACAACAACTCTACGGTAGCACCTTCTGAGGACAACAAGTGACGGCTTTTTATGTCAGCCCACTGAAGCCAGGTACTCTACAGCAGCGCCTTCTGAAGTCAGTTACTTTACAAAAGCGTCCTCTGAGGCGAGCTCTTCCACAGCACAGGACAATGAAATCAACTATTCCACTCTGATGGTATTTGACGCCTGCTACTTTAATATAGCGACCTTTGACGCTAGTCTCTTTACAAAAGTGACCTCTGATGACTGCAATTCTTGAGAAGACGACTCTGAGGCCAGTACAGTAAAGGCTCCTGACGCTCGTGGCTACAATGGTGACTTCTGTTGCCAGCTATATTAAGGACATGACCTCTGAGCCTAGCGCTGCTAGTTTAGAGTTCAGTACATTTACAATAGTGACCTTACAGGCCAACTATTTTACACTCGCAAAATTTGAGACCATCTACTCTACAGTAGCGGCCTCTAAAGCCATACACTCTACTGTATGGGCTTTTGACGCCAACTATCTTCAGTGACTCTAAAGGCAGCTACTTCTAAAAAAAATTAAAAATCTCAAACTAGTCAAAGCTACTCTAAAGTTGTGTCCTCTGAAGGCCAACTATTCCAAGTGCGAGGACAATTACTCCACAGTAACGACCTCTAAGGCCATCTACTCTACAGTAACGGTGTCTAAGGCCATCAACTTTACTTTAATGGCTTCTGAGGCCAACTATTATTCAGTGATCTCTGAAGGCAGCAACTAATTGTGGCCTCTGGAGGCTAGGTATTCTCCAGGTGAGACCGGAGGCTGAGGTCAGCTACTATAACGTATAGATGTCTAGGGCCACCTACTCTAAAGTAGAGGCCTCTCTGAGGATACTATTTTAGATTCCAAGGACTCTGAGGCTAGTTACTCTGCAGTGGTGATCTCTGATATCAGCTTCTTTACAGTAGTGATTAATTGTCCTACTTTCAATATAACTGTTCCAATTAATTTGTAATTGATATCCATCGTTCTTCGTATAACCATTTTCGACGTCCTTTTTTTCTACCACACCACATTAATCCATTACATCCTACATTAAATCGTTTTCAATACTTACCCAACATTTTATTGCGATTAACATCAATGCGAGCCACACCAAAGGCTGGATCTGTGTCGGCGGTGTAATTGTCAATTGTGAATTCCCAATAGTGGATGCCACGTGAGAAACCAACGGAACCCAAGGCGACACGATGCTCCCAGCCCTCCACAGAGACGGTGGCATTATTATTGCTGAAGATTAGACCAGAACCGGGACCACCACTTAAGACAGGATCGAAGGTAAACCAGGCAACTATAAGAAAAAACAGAAAGGAAAAAAGGACAATGTTAGAAATGAAAGAAAAAAAAAGGAATCTTAAAACAATCAACATTGCTTATGAATGCATACAAATCGTTGAGGGAAGAGAGAGAAAAGGAGAATAGAAAAAGCCACAAGTTGTATGGACACAATAAGCTTTGTTGGCCCAACCAGCCAACGAACAAGTCCTGCAGTCAATAACCAGGAAATTCAATTTGATTGCATTTCCTTGGCACTGTGGCAAACAATTGTAAATGTATGGGTGTGTATGTGTGTATTTGTGTGTAAAAGTCCGTCTTGGAAAAATTGTAAAAGATTGCCGTTTTTTCCCCCGGTTTCCGTTCTGTCAGCCAATATTGGCAATGTTTGTTTTTTGCATTTTCTTGTTGTAAAGCAAATAGTTAAGGCACTTAGGATAGCCGGTGTAAATGTCTTGTAGCAGCCGTTGTTCTCTCAGGCGAAATGCAATGCTGTTGTTTTGTCTACACCACAATACTTAGTTGTGGTTCGGATGTTGTTCTTGTTACAGCAGCACATCTAAAGGATGCACTCCAAGAGAGTAGACTTGACTTAACATTGTTAGATTGGTCTTCCTTGGGTATTTTTTCTTCATTTGCTCCCATAATATCCTTTTTTACCATTTTCTTTGTTAGCCACAATCCAATCGAGTTGTTATAAATGTTATTGCTGTGGTTAGTATTTTTTTTTTTGTTCTGTTTGCCTTTTGCAAATAATAATTTTACAACAGACTATTTAAATTGTTATTGGAGATTTGTTATTAGCCACTAAATTGTGGTAAATTTTGTAAAATTGATGTTCACGTCAAAAGGCATAAAATAGTTTGTAACCCCACCATCACAGGCTTTATGCCATATAGTCCACAGCTAGAGAATAACTTTTTTCTGGGGTATTAAAAATAGGCGAGATAAACTAAACAGAGACAACTACATAAAATAGAAGGACTCAGAGGACTTTAACCTACAAGAGAATCTCTAAAAGACAGCTCTTAAATATTACTCAATTCATAGAGAGGAACCTGGTAGTCAAACCTGTTAGGAGAACTTTTTTCGAGGGTATCAAAAAAGGCGAGATAAATTCAGGGGTTTGGTAATCTCCAAGAGAATGTCTAAAAGACAACTCCTTAATATGACTTAATTCATACAGAGGAACCTGGTAGTCAAACTTGTTCAGAGGTCTCAAAAGAAGTAAAGCTGTCCTAGAGAAGCTGCCTGTGCTGAGAGCCAACAGCTACCAAGACCTTAGATCAAAAATATAGAATAGATAAAGTCCCCCTTGGATTTTTATACATATATTATATAAAATAGGACTGAGAGGTCCTTACTCTGCAATAGAATGTCTAAAAGACAGCTACTAAAATGTGATTGGCTTCATAGGTCATGATTATAGAGAGGAACTGGGTAGGCAAGCTTGCCTATAGATCGCTACAGTATTGAAGCTGTCCTTAGAGGCAATGCCATTGAGAAGCTGCCTATACCAGCTGGGAAAAGATATCGCTACCGTAAAGCACCTGGCCTCTGAGGCTATTTCCGCCGAAAACTAGCTTCAGAGTAGCTATTCTTATAGGTGGTCTGGCACCTGGCCTCAGAGGCTATTTCTGTCGAAAACTAGCTTCAGCGTAGCTATTCTTATAGGTCATTGTCCAAGGGTAGCTAGGATATAACGAGCCTGCCCTTAGCGTCCCCTGTTATATATTAGATAGGCCGCTACAGTAAACTATCCGGTCACTGAGTTCTCTGTTGTAAAGTGGCGGTCCACAGAGGGCGTTGCTATAAAATAGATTACAACGGAGGATATTTTTATCGAGTAGCTGATCGTGAAGGCCTGATGTAGTAGCTGACCTAAAGAAGGTGGAGGTAAAGACCGCCAATATACAATAAAAGCAACAGGCCGTAACTTCTAAGTAACTGGCCTCAGAGGCCACGCCTTTAGAGAAGCTGTGCTCCAGAGGCCGCTAAAGCAGAATGACGATAGATGGCGCTACCAAATAGTAGCTGGTCTTGGAGGGCGCTATTGTAGAATTGCGGGATCTTTATGTTTCCACTGCATTGTGGATGGGTAAAAAGGACTTTGCTGTAGAGTAGATGACCCCAGAGGCCACCGCAGTGGAGCAGAAGGCCCCAGGGGCCACTGCAGTGGAGCAGATGCCCCCTGAGGCCACTGTTGTGAAGCAGATGACCTCAGAGGTCTTTACTGTAGCCCGAGGTCCATACTGTAGAGAACATGGCCCCAAAAACATTTCTATAGAGTAACGGGCCTCCAGAGGCTACTGGTGGCTATGGGATTCTCTAGTGAAGAATAACTGGTACGAGATGGCGCTACTATAGAGTAGCTGACCTTAGAGGGCGCTACTGTAGAATAGCCGGTCTCGGAAGTTTCTACTTTAGAATAGCCGGTCTCGGAGGTTTCCACTGTATTGTTGTTGGATACCAAGGATTCTACTGTAGAGTAGATGGACCCAGAGTCCACTGGTGTGGAGATGACTTGAGATGAGGTCTCCACTGTAGAGAACATGGCCCCAAAAACCACTTCTGTAGTGTAACTGGCCTCCAAAGGCTACTGCTGGCTTTTGGATCCTCTAGTGAAGAATAACTGGTACAAGATAGCGCTACCATAGAGTAGCTGACCTTAGAGGGCGCTACTGTAAAATAGTTGGTCTCAGAGGTCTCTACTTTAGAATAGCCGGTCTCGGAGGTTTCTACTGTATTTTGGTTGGACACCAAGGACTCTACTGTAGAGTAGATGGACACAGAGTTTACTGATGAAGAGATGACTTCAGAGGTCTCTGCTTTAGTGTAGATGGTCACCGAGGCCTCTACTGTAGAGAACATGACTTCAAAGGCCATTGCTATAGAGTAACTGGCATCGAAAGGCTATTGTTGTCTTTTGAATCCTCTAGTGACGAATAACAGGTACCAGACAGCGCTACCATAGAGTAACTGACTTAAGAGGGCGCTACCGCAGAATAGCTGGTCTCCGAAATGGCCCTGCTTTAGAGTAACTGGCCTCCAGAGGCTACTGCTGGCTTTCGGGACCGCTTATGTAGAATATCTGATACCAGGTGGCGCTGCTATAGCGTAGGTGATCTTTTAGGACGCTACTGCAGGCAGCTGGCCCGAGAGGCTTCTACTGTATAGTAGCTGGCCTCAGAAGCCGCTACTTCTTCAGTAGGGGTTGCATCAGAGGACTCTACCGTAGAGTAGGTTGTCTCAGAGGACTCTGATGTAAAATAACCGGCCTTAGGTATCTGGTGTCATAAGAGTAGATGGCTACATATGCGTCCACTGTAGCGTAACCGGCCTTAGGTGCCTCTACCGTGGAGTATGTGGTGTCAGAGACCTCCACCTAAGAGTAAATGGCTACACACGCGTCCACTGTAGAGTAGCTGACCCCAGATGCCAATGCTGCAGAGAATCTGTCTACCGCGACTTTTAATTCATCCCGAGTCAATGCTGTAAAATAGCTGGCTTTTCAGGCCTTTGCTGTAGTGGCTCCAACCAGAGCCATTGCTGTAAACTATATGGTATTAGAGACCAGCTATTTTATAGCACTAGATGGTTACCGAAGACCCTACGGTAGAGAATATGGCCCAAAGCCACTGCTGTAGAGCTGCTAGTTTTATATGGAGCCAATGTGGGGTAGTTGGCTCCAAAAGGGACTACTGTGGAGTTCCAGGCCTCAAAGGACGCACTTAAGAGACAACATCTTATTATTTTTCTTTCCCATATTGCATTTACAAGTTAGTTGGCCTCAGAAGGTAGCCGGCATAAACGTAGAGAAATTGGTTTCAAAGAGAACAAAGTCTCAAAGGGCGCCACTTTAGGGACAACATAAAATTCCTAATTATTTTTCTTTCTCACATTGCATTTCTCAATTAACACAAATCTTCAAATTATTCTCTTCGCCTTTACAATTTAACTTTAATTAAAATCCTTGTGGATTTTCATTTCGATTGTCAGAAGCTATGAAAATCTGCTGCAATTTGTGAAATTGCCATGGGCCATTTTCAAATTAAATAGAATTAAAGGCGTTTAATAAAATAAACACAACTGAAAAATCCGATTCATTAGCAGAGTTTGGCTATGAGCAAGAAAGACTGGTCGAAGTCAAAAACTTCTTCGTCCTGTTAAGTTTAGGTAAGTTTTTAGCCCTTGCGAAACGGAAGACATCAATCAAAGTTGTGGTGTTGGCTGAAAGTGAAGCAAAGGAAAAACTGTAAAAATGCCTCAGACATACAAAAACCACTAGACAGCCGAACCTGGCAAAAACAAAAACAACAACAACAACAGAACAATTGGACGTTGCTGCCGGTGGTGGTGGTGGTGTTAGGGTGTAAACGTTAAGAACTAACAAGATTACATAGTAGTAAAAGCTTTGGTGTAAAAGACAATTTACACAACTGACACTTACGCATGAGTGAATTAACAACGCAGGCAGAAATAAGGAAAATTCTTTGCCGACCGAGTCCGCCCCTGCAAAGAAGGAGGAAACGACCTAACAACCAAGGAAGTGAGTGAAACACTTTGCTTTGAAATTACTTTCTTAGGCATGCCACAGAAGAAGAAGCTGAAGAATGAAAACTTAACAATTACCACAGACGACATTCGTCGTAACTTTGATATTCCATAAGGATATCACAACAACAATATGGCCTTGGTCGTCGTTAGCCTTATACGAAATGCTTCCTAGGTTGACTGCCACAGACATTCTATTTTTTTTTTTTGCTATGGAAAACTCTTTTGCAAAATGCCAGATTAACAGACATTTAACGCTTGAAATAACTAAGCCTATGCAATGGCGGTTTTATATTTCCAAGTAAATAGAAATTGTAACCGTTAGCCAAGGGGTTTAGTTAAAGTAATTCCTGGAATTACAAGCAAAAGCTATGACAGTGGGTTGGAAGAGGAAAAAAGTTTGAAGATGATGGATTCAATAGGACTTAGAGGGCATTACAATATCAGCAGAGAGCAGTTGAGTATCTGGTGTCAGAGGCCTCTACCAAGCAGTAGCTGGATTCAGAGGCCTCTCCTGTAAAGTAGCAGTCCTCAGAGACTACAGAAGAGTTGCTGGTCTCTACTGTAGAGGTATCTACTGCAAAGTTGTTGGTCTCATAGCCCTCTATTATAGAGTAGCTGGCCTCAGAGGTCGTAGCTATGGAGCAGCTGTAGAGAAGCTGGTTTCAGACGCCTCTACTGAATATAACTGGGCTCAGACGCATCTACTGAAGATAACTAGCCTCAGACGTCTATATTGAGAAGAAGCTGGCTTCAGAGGCCTCTATTGTAGAGCAGATGGCCTCTGAGGCCTCTACTGAAAAGTAGTTGCTCTGGAGCAACCTCTACAGTAGAGTAACTGGCCACAGAGGTCGCTGCAGTGAAGCAGATCGCAACAGAGGCCCCTGCTGTTGAGTAGCTTGCCACAATAGTTTCTTCAGTGGAGTGGCTGAGACCTCTACTGTAGAGTAGCAGAACTCAGAGTCCACTACTGTAAAGTAACAGGCCTCAGACGCCTCCATTGAAGAGTAGCTGGTCACAGAGATCTTAGCTGTAGGGTAGATGGCCTTAGAGGCCTCTACTGTAAATTAGGTGCTCTGGAGCAGCTGGACACAGAGGCCACTGCTGTTGAGTAGCTGGCCACAGAAGTATCTACAGTGGAGTAGCTGGCCTCAGAGGCCTCTACTGTAAAGTATCAGGCCTCAGACGCCTCCATTGAAGAGTAGCTGGCCACAGAGGTCTTAGCTGTAGAGCAGATGACCTTAGAGGCCTCTACTGTAAACTAGCTGCTCTAGAGCAGCTGGGCGCAGAGGCCGCTGGTGTTAAGTAGCTGGCCACAAAAGTATCTACTGTGGAGTAGCTGGACTCGGAGACCTCTACTGTTGATTAGCTGAACTCAAAGGCTACTACCGCAGGCCTCAGATGCCTCCATTACAGAGTATACCTCAAATGCAGAGTAGATACTCACAAAAGCTTGTACTGTAGAGAAGATGGCATCAAAGGCCTCTTCTGTAGAGTAACTGGGCTACAGAAGCCACTGTTGCTGATTTGTTGGCCCTAGAGGCCACTGCTGGAGAGTTTCTGGCCTCAGAGAACTCCACTGTAGACAAAATCATTGCTGAAAAGTAGATGACATCCAGAGGCCACTGATGTAAATTAGCCGATCTCTAGAGGTCACTGCTGTAAAGTAGATGAACTGTAAAGGTCATTGATATAAATTAGTTGTCCTCAGATGTCATTGCTGCAGAGTAGTTGACTTCAAAAGGTAGAGGGAAGAGAAGAGTAGCTGATAGACCGTCGCAATAAAATTACTGACATTAAAAGCCAATTGCTGTTGAGTAGCTGGCATTTAGAGGTCACTGCTGTAAAGTAGCTAATCTCCAGAGTTCGCTGCTGTATAGAATTTGACTGATATGCCGCTGGTGATGAGTAGCTGGCCTGCTATGGAAAAAGTAGCTTTAGAAGCCATTACCGTAGAGGAGCAATCATTATACACCAATAACAGATGGTAGTGCTGTAGAGTTTCCGCCCTCAGAGACCTCTACTGTAGAGAAGCTGACCTCCAGACGTCATTTCTGTAAAGTAGATGACATCCAGAGTTCACTGTTGTAAATTAGACGATCTCTTGAGGCCACTGCTGTAAAGTAGATGACCCACAAAGGTGCTATAAACTAATTGTCATCAGATGCCATTGCTGTAGAGTAACCGACTTGCAGAGGCCGAGTCTGTACAGTAGCTGACCTTCAAAGGCCGCTGTTATAAAAGAACTGAACCACTGCTGTTGAGGGACTGGCCTTTAGAGGTCACTGCCGTAAAGTAGCTAACCTCCAGAGGTAACTGCTATATAGAATCTGGTTGAGAGGCCGCTGTTGATGAGTGGCTGACCTGCTATGGAGGAGTTAGCTTCTGAAGCCAGCAATAGATGGCAGTGCCATATAGTACTAAGGGAAGGATTTTTTAAAGTTGACGATCTCTAGAGTTATTGCCATTTATTTGTATATGGCGTCAGTCCACACATTGTAACCAGGTGCTTTATTCTTTCAGATTTGTGGCACCCACAGTCCCTTGGCCACAAACAACCTTTGATAGGCTTAATTGAAAAATGTAATGAAAAACTTGTTTTTTTTTCTCGTATTTTGTTATGCCTCCAACAATAGCAACACAGCTAAAGAGCTTTGAACTTTGAACTGATGTCAAGCGAACAAGTAACCGCCGGTATGGCAATATCAGGTCATAGTGTAAAAATAAAACACTTCTATTTTTATTCTCAACAAACTCCTCCGCACTCTTCCTTACTTACCTTCAGCCGTTTGCAAGCCAATAAGTTCCGAGTATTCACCCTCTCCGGCACTATTGAAAGCCTTGACACGGGCATTGTACATGGAGTTAAAGTGTAGGCCATCAACGGTGCAAATGGTCTCTTTGCCGCAGTAAACTTCCTGGAAAATCCAAAAATAACAACAAAAACAAGAAAGGCATTAGCACAAAAAGCCGACTACATTAGAATTTTCCAATAAATTAGAATAGCAACAAAAAATATACGTTTCAAGACATAAAGAAAACAATTTCTTAGAGTACAAGAAGTGTGAATAAACCAATAATGAATGGAGGTGGTGGTGGGGAACAACGCCCATTTCCCCAGCCTTCAGTTCTTACCCTAAATTCTCCACCGCTGCCATCGTCCAGCTCCAAGACATAGCCCTCAACAAAGGAATGATTTGGTGCCTGCCACGCCACAGTAACGGAGTTATTTTCCGCTGAACAATCTTCGGGTATAATTGCAGGTGGTTGAGGAGCTGTTCCACAAAAATAGGTAGGGTTCCATGACGGGAAATCGGGAAACACAGAAATCGGAAGAGAAAAAACAACAACAACAACATTGTTAGCATAAATGCAAATTACTGTTTGGCTTAAAAGTAAAACCCACAAAGAAAAAGAAGAAAAAAAGGAATGGTATTTTTGGAGAGAAAACAAAAAATTGATAGGAAAGGAAATATTGTTAGTGTTACAGGGAAATGGACAAGGGAGAGTATATGTGTATGTGTGTGTTAGTGTTAAGGAGAGTATAGGACAAGAAAAGTGTGTGAGAGACAGAGCGAGACAGATAGAGCAAAAGCATGAGTGTAATAGAGCCAATAGAACGACTACCATGATTTCTTACTTTAATTATTATGACTTGGGGCTATAATAAACCATAAATTATAATTGTTGTGGCACGTCTTTGGTTTTTTGGGTGGTAGGGGAAAAGGATGTTTGTTTTATTCCCTGATAACCAAAAACCAAATAATATACAGAACCAAAAATAGAAGACCAAAGAAAAACGAAACTTAAGATTCCGGAAATTATAAGAAACTCAAGCTTGCCAATGGCCACAACACAAAAAGACATTGGCCCACAGGACATAATGGTAACATAAAAAATATTACTTTACGAAGGAGAAGTAAAGGAGACGGAGAGAGTGTCGACGAAAGTAAATGTAGAAAACCGGAAAGGTGTAGCAACACTGGCCGTTTTGGCAAATATTTTTCTTTGCCACTTTCGAGCCCAATTCAAATTAGTTATTAGGTGTAAATGTCATAAACAACACAGCACGTAAATAATTGCGGGTAATTTAAATGAAGTTAAGAAAAATAATAATAGTAGGGGAGTAAAAAACGAGAAAAGGCAATTAATGTTTTGGAATGTTTCTACTTTTTTTGAGGACTAGCAAATCCTCGACAGGGTAATTATAATAACAATTTGCTATACCTTAAGATTTTGAAAATAATTTTGTAGGGCGAAAATCATACATTTCAAGCCATATTTATATGAGGAATTGAACATATAATCATGAGTCTCGTAGAATATAATTTTTTAAAGAATGTTTGAATTAAAATCGTGGAATTTTTAGAATATTTACTAAAGGGACTACAGAACTATAGTCGTGGAATTTTTAAGAGTTATTTCAAGTAATTTTTCAAGGCATATATTTTAGGGAATTCCACGACATCAAGATCCATAATATTAGGTTATAGAAATATTTTTTCTTGTGGTCTAATATAGCTAATATCCAAAATTTCTTACAAACTTTTTAAGGAACCAATAGGGCTTAAACTTTGTACACAACAATTTGTATAAAATATTCCTGCAAGCCTAACAGAACTGTCCAAAATTGTATGTTGTACATATTTTTAGGGGAACAGAGATTTTTGAAAAATTCATTTGAAAGGACATTGGAGCTATAATCGAGATACATCAGAAAACCTGAAGTAGAATCTTCGATTTTTAAAATAGATGTTTTCAAGGACCAATGAAGGATATACTGTCAAAGACCAGGTCTCCAATGAAAGATCATTTTTTACAATATTTTCTCAAGGATCATCAGAGCTATAAACGTGGATTTGACAAGAATATTTTTTCAAGGACATTCCGAACTATAAATTGTTTAAATAATATTTTTAAAGGACCAAAAGTGCCATAAGTTTGGATTTTTTCAAGAATATTTTTCAAAGATAACCGAGCCATCTACTTTTATTTTTGAAGAGTTTTCTGTAAGGAATGTCAGAGTTAGCAATGTGGACTTTTTTATTAATATTTTTCTAAGGATCAACGTTGATTTTATTAAAAAAAATTTCAAGGAACAACGTGGATATTTTTTTTTTTTTTCAAGAACCAACATGGATTTTTTTCTTAATATATTTCTAAGGATCCATGTGGATTTTTTAGGGCTATCTATCTTTCAAGGGCCGATGTGAAAAATATATATTTTTGTAGGACAAATGCTTTTTTAAGAATGAAATGGATGTATGATCTTTTATTTTTTGGGAACTACTTTTTCGAAGGATCAAAGAATATATGAACCCGGATTTCTTAAAAATATTTTTTAAGGACCAAACGATATATGAACGTTGAAAATTTTTAAAAAATATATTTTCAAGGATTAAATATTTTTTGATGGCAAAACGATATGTAAAAGTGATTTTTGTTTTGAACCCATCTGTTCAAGGATAAAGGAAGCTAAAAACCTATTTTATATGGACCAAAGGACTTGCGCGTAGTTGCATTATTTTGAATATATTTTTTCACGGACCATATAATTCATGAACGTGTATATTATAAAAAATATATAACAGGGTCAAATGACCATGAAGGATTTTTCGGAAAATATTTTTTCAAGGACCAAAGGATTGATTTTTTGTGAACAATTTTTCCAAAGGATACGTGAACCCGGATTTCTTAAAAATATTTTAAAGGACCTAACAACCTATGAACTTTGAATTTTCGAAAAAAAGTTTAAGAACAAATACGTTTAAAAAAATTAAGGTGCAAAAGTTAATTGAACGTTGATTTGTTGAAAAAAAAAATCAAAGAGAAGAGGATTTTTAAGGACCTATGCGCGCGGTTTTAAGATTTTTTTTTTCATGGAAAAAATGTTATATGAACGGTTGTTTTTGAAAATATTTTTCAAAGAGCAAAGGAAAAAAAAAATATAAAAAATTGAAAAATATTTTTTAAAGACTAAAGTTTATATGAACATCAATTTTTCTGAAAAATATTTTTTAAGAACCAAAGAATTTTCAAAGACCTGCGATTTTTTGAAAAATATTTGTTTAAGGACTAAAATTTATATGAACGTCAATGTTTGGGTTTTTAAGAACTAACGGATTTTCATACCCTATTTGCGTGTTTTTTTTTGAAAAATATTTTTTCAAGGATCAATGGATTTTCTAGGACCTATGAGTGTGTATTTTTTTTTTTTTTGGAAATTACTTTCTCAAAGAACGTTATCTTTTTTTTTTTTTTTTGAAAACAATTTTCTTTAGGGACCTGTGAATGAGCGCGGATTTTTTGAAAAGATTTTCTTTTTGAAATTCTAGATTTTTAAAAATATTTCAGGTGGTTTTGAAAGTATGTTTTCAGATAATATCTGAGCTAGTATTCTAGAAAATATTGAAAATATTTTTCATGAAAACTACATCGTGAATTTAAAAAAAAAACCTCAGAGACACTCCGAATTCAAATCAGAAATTTTTTAGGACTTAAGCACTTTTTGACCTGCAATTGCAAAAGATAAAAAAATCAGGCAACAAAAATTTTTTCCGGACTAACGGAACAACAAACCTATCGAGAATCATTGATTTTTAAGAAAAAATTTCAGAGAATACTTGAGCTAAAATCGTGTGTTTTTTTCTGAGTTCGACGTGGATTTCTAAAAATCTAATTTCTGGAACCGCCTAAACGTGGATTGCTAATATATATATTTTTTTGAAAACATGGACCTCTAAAAAATATTTTCTACTAATGTCGTGAATTTGAAAAAAAATATATATATTTCCCTATAGCTATTTAAGCTACAACCGTGGATTATCCGAGCATTGAAAAGGTCTTACAGGATAAGAATATATTCCACTTATTGGCAAAAGCGCCTTTACAGGGTTTTTACTTAAAAGTCTTCCATGCCTAAGTCTTCTATGGAAAGGATTCAACAGGTTCTATGGAAATTTTAGTTTTAACTGTCTTCTAAGCATATATGACCTTTAGCTGGCCTTTTGTGCATTAACGAGTTTTAAAAGTCTTCTAGGGATAGCAAATATCTAATAATATCTTAACAAATATCTGATACGTAAAACACCTTTTTCGGGTCTTCGATGGGGGAGAATATATTTAACAAATATTACATAGATAAAAGACATTTGATAGGTCTTGCATGGACAGGTCCCATGGTATTTTATTGATAGAGTTCATTTAACAGGCGTTTTCCACACTGACTGCATCCAAAGGGTCTTTGGGTGTAGAATATCTTTTTTATGGACATACAAAGTTTAAAAAGCAATTTCTGGATAGAAGAAAAACAGGTCTTGTATGGATAGAGGAAGTTTATGAGTTCAGGTTATTTGATAGGTCATCTGCTGATAGAAGACCTTTAACAGGCCTTCTTCGGATAAAAGGTCTATTAGACGTCTTTTATGGAAATAGGTCGCAGTACTTTTTTAAATTGAAAGCCTTGAATAGGTCTTTTATGGAGAGAACACATTTAAAGGGCCTTCTATAGATAAAATATAATTTATCGGTATTTTAGACGAATCAGTTCAATTAGTTATGAATTAAAGGTAGTGAACCAAAACCGTAATGAGAAGAAGAGAAAATGAGAAAGTGGTATGTATGTATGTGTTTTTAGTGACAATGAATTGTTAGGGAAAATTAAGTTTAACACAAAATACGGATGAAAACTTAGAAATAATATAAAAAATGTCGAATAAAGTTTGAAAATAATTTTAAAATTAAGAAGAAGAAAAACAAAATCATACATACGAATACAACAAGTAGAGGATAATGGCAAATTGGTATGCGTACATGATATCGTTTCATCGTAGTTGATCAATTTTCTAAAGGCATTCATTTTCAGAGATAATGTTGTTGAGGAGGAAGATGATGATGATGATTTATAGGATTTGGTGGAACGTAGTGTTGAGGTCTTATTGCAATCATTGATTGCCATAGCCGTCATCAGGTTGGTTATGGTGGAATTATTGGTGGTGGTGTGGTTGTTGGTGTGGTTGTTGCAATTTATATTGTTGGTGTTGTTTGTGGTGTTGTCTAACAATGAGGCATTGATGACAGTATTGGTGGACAGTATGGATGTGGTAAATGATGATGTATTGCTGATATAGTGTTCATCAAGCATCTCACCTGCTGGCAGCCTTTCATCTCCATCTTTGGCAGCTATTAATGATACACACGCACACACACAAAAACACAAGCATAATTTTGGGCGTTTTTTTTTTTGCATTACATAAAAAACGGGAGATACAATCAAATTTCAAATGATGATTTGAATACAATTTTGGGCGTAATTTGATTTCATTTAGCAATTAAAAGCATTTTGTAAAGCAGCATGTATGAGTATATGAGAAAGAGAGAGAGAGAGACAAGATTATGGTAATTATGATTAATTTGCGGAATACAATTTTTTGGATGGTTATATAATACAAATGTCTTAAATTTATTAAAAATAAATGAAGAAAATTATTACGTTTTCCATTGTGTTCTAAAGCAATGTGTACCACTTCCGGTACACTATGTGAGGTTAGGTTTCAAGCAGCCGCAGCAGCAGCGTCTGGGCAAATGTTAGGTATTGAGAAAAATAGTATCGGATTTCCCTGGGAGCATGAGCATTTGTAAGCAAATACACAATGTTAGTATTGATGTGCATTTCATGTTTAATGTCAGGTGATTTGTTGTTAGGTCTAACAGCTGTACCCTAGCCAGTTGTTGTGGCTGTGGAATGAGGCAGAATTGCTGTTATTTTATGAAAAATTATCACAAATTATGACATTGGCTTTTTTGTCTCAACAGAGCGGAAGAAGAGAAAATCTTTGTTATGGTGGTATGGTACACAATGTCTAGAAAAGGGAAAGTGAAAAATGTGCCCACAGATGATGGTGCGGGATATTAATGGGAACCCATATTTTATTTGTTTTTAAACACTTTTTTCATAGGGTTCAATTAGTTGGAAATTCCTGGCTGCTAAGGTTTTAGTGAGATTTTTATGTGAATTGAGCTATGCTTTCTTTGCTGTATTCAAAACCTGGGAAAAATGTTGTTGCCTAACTTACGTTTCATTTGTATGAAATTCAAATTATCAATTGATCTCAAAACCGCAGCATCATCCAGCGTCAAGTCTACAATGGGGGATACTCTCGGTGCAGCATTGGTAACTTCTTGGTGCCAGGTCATGTCGGTGTTGGCAACACGATTTATTAGCATTGAACCAACCTGGAAAAGAAGAAATAAAAAATAAATTAATAAACAAATATTATTAAAAATCGTATTTATTAGGGTGGTTCGAAGCTTTATAACCTATACTACGAGGGAATTTTAAATACTTAAACATAGGGGATATAAGATCAATAGGGGATCTTAATGGGAAACTTTTAATATGACAAAAATAGGAAAAAATAAACATTTCCTCAAAAGATATTAACCCAATTTAGAGACATTGTCAAAACTATGCTTATGTAGATCAAGGGAATTTTTCTACGATCGTGAAATATAAGAAAGGTAAGTAACTCTGCATACACATTGAGAGGGGCAAAGTGATCTGGGAAAAGTGCCAAAAAGGTAAGAAATATTGTACCCATGTTTCAGTATCATTGGCAGAGCTCTGCAGTTTAAAACAAAGTATTTGCATTATAATTAAAGTGAAATAGGAGGGGCCTGTAGACCAGGAAATCTAAACTTCAATATGAAGTTACCTTTGGTAGGCAGGGTAAAAATAATTTACAAATTTTGAAAATTAGTTTGAAGATATTCTTGGTATGTAGGGTAAAATAAATAAAAAAATTTGAACTAAAGTTAAAAAGAAAAAAAAAACAGTAAGATTGGCCGGGCCGAACTTTGAACCCATTTGGAACAAATTTGAAAATTTGCAAAAAATAAAATCCGTTAAAAATTCCTTTTAAATCTTAAAAATATCGAATATAGCCGTTATATTGGTATCTATACGACGTGGACCTACATAGGCATTGTTTGTCATAAGCCATTACCATATTCAAATTCGAAATTTTAAATAAACAGTGAATAATGTCGATGTGGACCTGCATACGAAATTTTTTTGCCATAGGTTGTAGTACCAATTAAGATCTTCCAATTCGAAACTTGAAACGATTCCGGTAAATAATGTCGCTGAAATCATGAAAATATCGAATATCGGAAGGTATCGTCATATGGGGGCTATACGAAGACGTGGACCTGCATATAAACGTTCTTGTCATAGGCTGTAGTACCCATTACGAATTCAAAATATGAAATTTTAAATGATTCCGGTAAATAATGTCGCTAAAATCATGAAAATACCGAATATGAGGAGGTACCGTTATGTGGGGGTTATACGTAAACGTGGATCGATATGGACCATTTACGAAATTAACCTGCCCACTGATAAAATATGTATGTATGCAAAGTTTTAGCCCGATATCTCAATTCGTGCGATCCAGAATACAGGATGAGATAAAAAAACTGCAACGAAAGTCAAACGGCATAATTTTTACATTTTTTTAAAATTTTATTGAATGAATGCAAAAAATGTCGGAAATAGCAATCAACTTTAGAAAAAGTTTAGATTTGTTCGAATTGGACACCTTTGCCACGAATTATGGCCTCCAAACGGCCAATGAAACCGTCACACGCTGCCCGAATGTTTGCTCTGCGGTATTTTGGCCCATTCCCGGCGAAGCGCTTGCTTGAGGTGATCGACACTTTGGTATTTTTTAGTGACAACCTTGCTTTCCAAAATACTCCAGACACAATACTCCCGACACAATAGTCCAACGGATTGGTATCCGGAGATTTTGGTGGTCATTGTGCACTGGAAATGAAGCAAGGAACCTCATTTTGTAACCATTCTTGGGTGGCGCGTACTGAGTGCGATGGTACTGAGTCCTGTTGGAATGTCCAAGGTCTGCGGTAAAAATGTTTGCGTGCCCAAGTCCTTAATACACCCTCCAGAATATTTTCGCGATAATATTCGGCATTTATTCTGATGCCATGGTCGATTAATAATACGAGTAGAGAGCGACCATTGGCTATTATGGCGGCCCACACCATCACCATGGATGGCGCTTGAGTACTGGTGGCCAACCGAAGGTGCACATTTTCAGCTGAACTCTTTGGCAAGTAAACACGATAATTTTGTTTGTTTACAAACTGCTGGACAACGAATGCTTTTTCATCGGAGAAAACCAAATTCGGCAATTCACCACTTTCGGCCAAGCGAAGCAACTCTTGAGCTCTTTTGAGTTTATTTTCTTTCTGTTGCGGTGTATGTTCTTTCACTTTTTGGAATTTCAATGGCCTTACACCGCGCTCATTTTTCAATATTTGCCGAATGGAATATTGCGATATGTTCACCTCGCGAGCCATTTTTATGCCACTACGACGCGGGATTCGATCAAGTCGCTTCTTTATTTCTCGAACCATTTCTGTAGATTTTGCTGTTTTCTTCCGTCCACGTCCTTGACGTCGGGCTACACTACCAATATCACGGCAACGAGCGATGGTACGAGACACAAAATATTTATTCACATGCTGGAGTGCTCTAACGATAGCCACCTGTGGTTTTCCAGCCAATTATAAAGAAATCACACTATCACGCTTGAATTCTATCACGAATAACTTTTATTCTTTTTTGGAAAATTCTCACCAAAATGCTTTTGTACGCTTGCAAACAATATAATGAGTTGTCACTGGAATAATTTTAGCAGCTGTCGGACGAGTGGCTTAGAAATGACAGCAGTCTTAAGTTGGTTGCAGGTTTTTCATCTCACCCTGTACTTTCATAATCCTCTGAATTTTTTCTTGTAATCATTTTTTTTTGTTACTCAGCGTAATCAGGTTAATATATATACCTATATATACCCATGGTCAATATTTTTAGCACTTATGTCAAAATATGGTCAAATTTGGAAATGGAATTTAACAGCTCATAATTCAGTCCAAATTCTTTTGTTATGTCCAAAAAAAACAATGACCAAATGCTTGATATGTCGATCCAAGTTTGTTTAAGGACCTTCAGTGATATATAATTTAATATTCTTGAAAAATTACCAGCAGGTCATGTATTGAAGATTCTATTTATTTTTCATAGGAAATCTATGAATTTTTATAAAAATTGATCGGAGGGAATAAGTTCACCTACAACACTTAAAATAGAAATCAAAACTCGTAAAACTTACCTGCAAGAATGCAGCGCTATCAGTCTCTTTTAAGGCCTCAATGCAGAATTGGATAAGCCCTGTGGTCTGTTGCAGTTTGCCGGTGCAATTTGATTGTTGATCCTAAAATTATATATAAAAAAAATAAATATTAAATTAAAATTTTATTTTTATTAAATATATATTTTATTTTTTTAATTGTCTCTTTATTTTTATTAAATCATAATTGTCATAATTTTATTTTTATTAAATATATTTTTATTTTTTTTTTTAATAGTCTCTTTACCTTTAATATTCTTATTTTCGTCTCTTTGTCCATGCGTATGGCCTCTAATAGATATTCACGGCGATCATGTATGGCTTGGATGAGGGCCTCACATTGGGCAGTGACCAGTCTTTCGAATTCTATGCAGGATTCCTGGAAAATAAAATTGAATAAATATTAAAAAATTCCATTAAAATTAAATGCAGAAAAATATAATTAAAATGCATTGCATTAGTCTCCCATGGAAAGAGAAACGTCCGGCAAAGGACATCAAAGGCAAACAGAAAGACTGCTTTAACAAATTAAATATAATTTCACATAGAAGTCACAAAGAACAAAACTAAAGAAATGAGAAAAACCCCGACTTGCCAACAAAAAAAAAAAAAAACTACAAGTGGTAGTAAGGAAAAAAGGACTTGAAGAAAATTGCAAGGAAATATAAACCAGACGCCTTTACTTCCACTTCCTTGGCTGAAGTTGACTTGCAAGTTTCGTTCTTTGCACAGGTAGAAAAAGGAAAAATGCCTGTACCGCTCTCCCTTTGTCTCCATTTAAACTATAAAAAGTTCATAAACATTAAGTGTAATTTGTCTGGACCCAAAGAGCGGTTCGCCGGGTCGTTGCAGGGCAAGAGAAAATCCAAAACAAATGTATAGTGGGATTTTAAGATTTCTTACAAACAATTTATGTTGTTTGTTCTTTTTGTCGCTGTGGTTGTTTTTGCATTATTATACTTGTTGTTTGTACTTAACGTTCTTTGACTAATTTCTGGAATTTGCTGGATTGTTTTTTTAAGGTGGAAGGTTTTAATTCTTTTTAATTCTTGTCTGGATGGGGTGGAAAAGGTACTGTGGACTGCTAAACTATTCAGTATTCTATTTCAAATTAAATATTATTAATTTTATATTAACTTTTCTGTAGAAGGGGTCGCATTATCTTCTATAGCTGAAGTAAAAACTCTACATTTTGAGTCAGACTTGTTGCGTAGGCATGTGATAAGGCTCTGCGTTTTGGAAATCTGTAACAAAAGGGAGCGGAAAGCACTAAAATTTGAACAGTTTGTACTGAATTTTGCAATTTAGGATTCGAGTCACTGATGGAGTGCAGGATAGATGTAGTTGGAAATTCGAACTTTAAAACTTTCATACTTTGTATTGAATTCTGAAATTTTCAAGAGACTCACTGATGAAGTGATAGATGAACGATATTTGGAAGTTCGAACTTTAAGGTTACCAAAAGTTCTAAAATGTTACGGATAGACCTAAAACCTGGAAATTTGGTACGAGAATAAATGTTGGAAGGTAAATTTGATATATGAATGTGGTTTTGGAAATGAGTACTAAGTGTGCGAATGGTACTAAATGGAACTAAATTTGTAACAGTTAGGCTTGGGGGTGAATGGATGAAGCGGAAATTTTGTATAGGGAGTCTCTGTTATTGGTAGGTTTGTGATAAAGAGGAAGTATTGAAAATGTGTACTAAAATTGCATGAAATGTACGAAACAGTACTGTATTTGGTACAATTTGGTATTGGGTAAAGGGATTGGGCTTGAAATCTGAAATTTGCTATTATAATCGAGGTTAATGTAACCTGGATATATTGAGACAGTTTCGAAAATGTGTACTATGATTGTACGAAAAGTACTAAATCGTACCATATGTGGTACAATTTGGTATTAAATGAAGGGATAGGGCTTGAAATCTGAAATTTGCTATTTAAATCGAAGTGAATGTTTAGGACATATGCAGGTGGTGTCAAAAATCTGTACTAAAATTTTACGAAAAATACCAAATCGAACTATATTTGGTACAATTTTAGTATGAGTAGCCGTTACTTTGTATACTTGTACGAAAAGTACTAAATTTGGTATTGAGTGAAAGGATAGACTTGGAATCCTGAAATTTAATATAAATGTCACTGTTGGTGTCTGTGGTAGAGAGAAGGAGATGGTTTGGGATATGCGTACTGTAGTTGTACTAAATTGTACTAAATTTAGTATTGGGGAATATTACAGAACTCAAATCCTGAAATTTGAGGCCAATGAGGCCTCTTTTGGTATCTGTGGGTGCGATATGGAGATTGTTTTGAAACTGTGTACGAAAAGAGCTAAATGCCACAAAATATGCCATTGGGTGTTGGGATAGAGATGGTATTCTGAAATTTGGTTTCGAGGTCACTGTTGTTGCCTAGGGTGAAAAGAAGGTGGTTTTTTGGATATGCTTATAGTACGCATGTATACTGTATGAAAAGTATGGTAATGGGATTGGGTTAGGATAGAGCTGAAATCCTGAAATTTTCTGTTGGTATCTGGAATTCTGATATGGAGGTGGTTTCGGAAATGTGTGCTATAACTGTTCGAAAAGTACTAAGTGGTACTAGATTGGGTATTGATTGAAGGTCAGAGCTGTACTTTGAAATGGTTTGGCAAATAAGTACTAAAATTATACGAAAAGTACTAAATGGTACTAAATTGGGTATTGTGCCAAGGGATAGAGCTGAAATCAAGAAATTTGATATTGAGGTCTGTGTTGATATTTGGCATTGAGATATGTAGGTGGTTTTGAAAATGTGTACCATAATTGTACGAAAAGTACGGAATGGTACCATATTTGGCATTGGGTGAAGGGGTAGAGATAAAATTCTGAGATTTTATATTTAGATAACTGTTGGTATCAGAGGTTGAGATTTGGAGGTAGGTTCGGAATTAGAGAAGTACTAAATTGAATCAAATTTGATATTGGGTCAAGGGATGGGCCTGACATCCACAAATTTGATATTGTGGTATCTGTTGGTATCTAGAAAGAAAAGGAGGTTGTTTTGGAAATTTGTTTAAATTGTACGAAAAGTACTAAATACTTCTAATTTTGGATCACTGTTGGTGTCAAAGGGCGGAGAAATGTAAACTGTTTGGGATATGAGTACTGAATGTTACTAAATTTGGTATTGGGAGAAGGGATAAAGCTCAAATTCTGAAATTTGATATTAGGGTCGCTCCACTGTTCTATGGAGGCTATATTGTAACTCCTCGAAATACTCATGTCAGACCCAACAAAATATATTCTTGACTAGCGTAAAATTCTAAGTCGATTTAGCGATGTCCGTCTGTATGTTGTAATCACGCTATCTTTCGAAAGAATTGAGAGAGAAGGCCAAAATTTTGCACACGTGTGTATTTTGAATTTATGTATTTATAAAAAATTACATATGCAGACTCACGTAATCGTAGAGCCTCCGTATAACGGTACCTCCCAATATTCAGTATTTTTATGATTTTAGAGCCACTATAAAGTTCGTAATGCGTACTACAACCCTTGACGGAAAATTGTCTATGTAGGCCCATTTCTTCGAACAGCCTCCATATTCAGCTACCTCCATTTATTTGGTATTTTTTGTGATATTAGCGATAGTATTCCCCGGAATTGTTTCAAATTTCGTACTTAATGTTCGGAATCGGTACTACAGCCTATGACAAAAAATTACATATGCAGATCGACGTCTTCGTATAGAAATGTTAATAAATGTTTTCATTTAAGCGGTATTTTTGGATTTTTTATTAAAAGTTCGGTTCGGATGAAAAAAATGCCTCGATGAACAACTGAGATTTACATTTATTCTGTATAAACTGCCATAATTAATTGAGCTTGCGATTTAAGCTATAAAAACATTAACTTAAACTACATTTTTCTATAGAAATAATTGACCCTCAGTGACCCTCTTTTAATTTCCTCAATAGGGAAAAATTACCTCAATGAACTGAGGATTCTATTTTTTTTTCTATAAAAGGAAATGGATTGGAGCTCAGTGGACTAATTATACCCTCAGCCATATGGCTACAGAGGGTATATATCATTTGATACGGCCAAAACGTGCCTAGTCGAAATAACGGTTTTAGACCCTAGGTCTCTTTGGACCAAATCCGTTTCAGAACATTTGGAGTCGATCTAGCGATGTCCGTCCGTCCGTCCGTCCGTCCGTCTGTCTGTCTGTCTGTCTGGCTGGCTGGTGCGCACGATAACTCTCGAAGGGAATATCCAATTTGGTCCAAACTGGGTACATCGTAATATTTTTATCAAACTTAGATCGAGTTCGGAGATGGGCAATATCGGTCCACTCCTTCTGGTACCTCCCCCACAAAAGTTCGAAATTTTCAAAAAATTTAATTTTTGCACAGAAAGAGAAATTATAGTCCGATTTTGCTCCAACTTTGCAAATCTTAGTATTTGCGTCAGTGTGAGGTCGGGTGTGAAAATGGAAAATATCGGCCCACTCTATCAAGTACCTCCCCCACAAATGGTAAAAATTTTGAATAATTACAACTCTCATAAAATGTGATGTAAGTGTCCGATTGTCTTAAAATTTTACACATCCCAATATTTATATTAACCCAAGGTCTGGTGTTAAGATGGAATATATCGGTCCACTCCTTCTGGTACCTCCCCCACAAAAGGTTGAAATTTTCAAAAAAAAAAAATATTTTTTTTTGCACAGAAAGAGAAAGAATAATACGATTATTCTGCTACTTTGTAAATCCTAATATTTGCATCATTGCTAGGTCTGGTGCGAAAATGGAGAATATCGGTCCACTCCTTCTGGTACCTCCCCCACAAAGGGTCAAAACTTTAAATAATCACAACTCTCATAAAATGTGATGTAAGAGTCTGATTGTTTTGAAATTTCACACATCCCAATATTTATATTAACCCAAGATCTGATGTTAAGATGGAATATATCGGTCCACTCCTTCTGGTACCTCCCCCACAAAAGGTCGAAATTTGCAAAAAATATATTTTTTGCACAAAAAGAGAAAGGATAATCCGATTTTGCTCTCACTTTGCAAATCCTAATATTTGCATCAGTTCTACGTTAGGTGTAAAAATGGACAATATCGGTTCACTCCTTCAAGTACCTCCCCCACAAATGGTCAAATTTTGAATAATTACAACTCTCATAAAATGTGATGTATGAGTCCGATTGTCTTCGAATGGCGCACATCCCAATATTTATATTAACCCAAGCTCTGGTGTTAAGATGAAGTATATCGGTCCACATCTTTTGGTACCTCCCCCACAAATGGTCGAAAATTTGAGATTTATATTTTCTGCACAGAAAGGAAGCAATAATCTAATTTTGAAAAACATAACGCTCAAAGAAAGCGAAATAAGGATTCAACTCTTTTCAAATTATTTTTGCTAACACCAGATCTGTTTTGAAGATGATCCTATATATCTGCGAACACCTTCTGGTACCTCACCCACAAAGAGACACATTATTCAATATTTTTATCTGTCATAAATTGCGAAACAACTCAGTGATTCTTTACAATAGCTATATCCGTCTGCTATAATAATATTTATATCATATTTATGTAGGTCCGATACGAAATTGACAATATTGACCCATTCTTTAAAAACCCACTCCATAGAGGGTGAAGAGGGCTGAGGGTATACATCTGTCGGCAAAGCCGACCGATACTTTTTTACTTGTTTTTCGATATATTTTTATAGTAATATTTATTTTTTTATATTTTTATAGTAGTAGTATAGTACTGGTTCCTATTTTTTTCTGAACAACATTTTTTTCTTTTCTATAAAAAAAAAAACGCCTCAGTAGAGGATGTAGATGACATCACCTTAGTAGAGGATTTAAATTTGAATCTATGAAGATTTTTTCTATAAATAATATTCCGCTTTCTCCAAAATTTTTAAAATACACCGTAGTTCGCCAGCGTCAACATATGAACAGAAGTTTTTGTAGCGATTTTTATATGACCACCACTGTTCCGTATTTTTCTTCTTCCTCACACAGTAACAAAACACCGAGTGAAAATGTAGAAGGAAAAAAATATCCTTTAGAAAAACTCCATGTAAATATCTTTGAAAAATTACATCTGGTTTATAATGGGATTTTCAATGGCCAACAATCCTTCTGTTCCGCTGTTTTTTCGATTTTTTTTCTCTTTTGCATGCCTACCCAACTTCATTCGCACAGTCAACATTTACTTAATTAAGATATTAAGTTTTGTAAAACTTTATTATTTTAAGCTTAACCAAAACACAACAAAAAAATATATATTTAAGTCTGTTTTCATTGCTATGCCTTGGGGAGAGAGCAAACCAAAAAGAAATGTAAAAAAGGAATATAATATTCAACATTTGCCATGTGTTTGTTTCTGCCACAGAAAAGCGGGAAAGAGGAAAGACGACGCATGCCTGCCTCTGAAGTATTAAATCTTTTTTCTGCCCAGTTTAGCCTGAGGGGGCTTTCATTTTCTTTGACTTTTGAGAAGCGATTTTTTTGTTGTCTTCCTTACTTTATGACAACTCCAGCAACAATTTTTGGTTGCTGGTCGCCGGGGCGAAAAAAAAACAAAATATATTTTTATGTGCTAAAAAGTGTGTGAAGAAAAAAAAATTACAAAAAATATTTTTTTCGACTTACCGTTACTTTGTCACTCATTCCTTTTAGCCGCTGTATAAACTCTGTTGTGGAGCGTGCCTTTTCTGACAATTGTTGCAGATTGTGTGAAAGTTCCGTCTGTAAAAGAAGATAAGAAAAGAACCATGAAAAAAAAGAAGTGCGACATTAGTGACAAATTGCATACCGGAGCAGAGCAAGAGAACAGAAATATGTAAAGAAAGTTTTTGAAATTGACAGACACACACACACACACACACACACACACACAAATACATACACAGCAAAAACCAAATCATATAAGGTTTTTTTTTGCCCTTCCTGATTCCGTAGCGAAAAGAGAAAAAACGGTCCAGGAACAGATAATGGTTCACAGTATTTTTATGAAGTGTAAAAATAGCGTATAAATGGATATTAAACGAACAACAATAACAGCAACAACAAAAAGCCAGTAATAAAAGGCAACAACATTTGCATGGCATTCGGGGTAAAGATGTTCTGGAGCTCCTGGTGCGCTGTGAATCACGGACGAACATGCCAGCAGCGGTATGGTATTTTAGCAACATCATCATCGTCATCCTCAGCATCAGCATGATTCGCAATGTCCCCATGAACATTTGTTTAACCACAGCAAGTTCAGTGTTATTATCATCATAACATTTGTTATAACCAAATATCCTGGGTTTTCCATTTTCATACACACACATACAAACCTAGCTATATACAATCATATAGCGCCCCATTCACTGCGGCCATGATACAGCAAGAGAGATAAAAGAGCGAACGGATATCAAAAATCGAGCTGTGTGTCCCCGCAAAAAAAAACCCAAAAACTTCTGCGGCCAAATATAACGGAAATAAAATGTTGATGAATGAGGAGAATGGTGCAAAAAATATGTTTTATGCCCGCAAACTATAAAAATATAATCGAAATTATACAAATAAAAGGAGGAATATTAAAGCAAAATAAAAAAATGTCATCTATAACAAATGACAGGAGGCCCATGGGTACTGCCGCCAGTATTCTGGCGATTGGGAGATATAAATGGAAAATCCATTATGTTTTTAAAAATTTAATATTATTTTATGGAGCATAAAATTTAAATGAATTACAGGGTCATGAAGGGTATTTAATGCATTTAATAAATATATTTGGAATCAATTTTAAATGGTCCATTAAATGTCTTTATGGAAATCAATTACTTAGAATATTTTTTTAATATACTATTATAATCTTAATGACTTCGAACGAATTATTAAATAAAAAAATGCACAAATTATTCTGTAACAGTCCTCAGCTCAGATATTACTTTAAAAATTATTTTAGAAAAATGCACGAAAATCCTTAAAGAATTTAAAAATCTATGTGCCATCAGACCTCTAACTGGATAATTTTTAAGGACTTTTGAAGCTATAATCGTGGATCTTTTAAATAATTATTCTCTTGGTCTTTTGGATTTATAGTGGTTTCTCTTTGAAAGTTTTTTTCTCGATGGATTTTGGAGCTTAATAGTAGATTAATAGTAGAATACCTATTTAAGTATTCTCGAGGACTCTTGAAGCTATAACCATGAATTTTTAAAGATTTTTTCTAAGACTATCAGAGCATTAATCGTGGATCATTTATAGAATTATTTTCGTAGTCTATTGGAGTTATAATCGTGGATTTTTTATGAATTATTTCTAGAACTAATGGTCCTATGGTCGTTATAGTCGTGGTCTCTTAAGGATTTTTTTTCTCGACGTTTTTCTGAGCTACAAACGTGGATTTTTAAGAATTATTTCGAGGACTATCAGAGCAATAATAGTAGATCTTATAAAGAATTATTCTCGAAGTCTTTCGGAGTTATATACGTGGTTTACTAAAAACAAATTTTCGATATCAACAATTATTTCGAGGACTGTCACAGTAATAATCGTGGATTTCTCAACAATTATTTCGAAGACTATCAGACAAATAATCATGGAATTTTTCAAAGATTACTTCAAGAGCTAACACATCCAAATTCGTGTTTTTTCAAGTATTAAAGGCTATCAAACCCGTAATCCTGGATTTTTTGAACAACTACTTGAAGAAACATCAGACCTATTATAGTGTATCTTTAGAGAATTATTTAGAGAACTTTGTAAAAAAATAACCAAATATTTGGTTTACAGGGTCAGATAAAAAACTGCAACAAAGTCAAACGCCATCATTTTTACATTTTTCAAATATTATTGATTTAAAGCAAAAAATGTCGGAAATACTATCAAATTTTAGAATAAGTTTAGATTAGTTCGAATTGGTCACCCTTGGCACGGAATGAAACCGTCACACGTTGCCCGAATGTTGCTCTGCGGTATTTTGGCCCATTTCCGGCGAAGCGCTTGCGCTTGAGGTGATCGAAACTTTAGTATTTTTTAGTGCCAATCTTGCTTTCCCCAAATACTCCAGCCACAATAGTCCAACGGATTGGTATTCGGAGATTTTGGTGGCCATTGTGCACTGGAAATGAAGCGAGGAACCTCATTTTGTAACCATTCTTGGGTGGCGCGTGCTCAGTGCGATGGTGCTGAGTCCTGTTGGAATGTCCAAGATCTGCGGCCAAAAGGTTGCGTGTCCAAGGCTTCAATACATCCTCCAGAATACTTTCGCGATAATATTAAGTATTTATTCTGATACAACGGTCGATTAATACACGCGGAGTGCGACCATCGGCTGTTATGGCGGCCCACACCATCACCATGGCCGGCGCTTATATTTTGGTGGCCAACCGAAGGTGCACATTTTCAGCTGACATCTTTGGCAAGTAAACACGATCATTTTGTTTGTTTACAAACTGCTGAACAACGAATATTTTCTCATCGGAGAAAACTAAATTAGGCAGCTCACCCCTTTCGGCCAAGCGAAGCAAGACTTTAGCTCTTTTGGAGTCTATTTTCTTTCTATAGTGGTATAAGTTCTTGCACTTTTTTGAATGTCAATGGCTATACCCCGAGCTCATTTTCAAT